CCTTTTACCCGAAAAATAATTCGATAATTTCCTGGAATCTCAGTTACAATATCATCTGCATTTTTCATTAGATGGGTTTGAATTAAATTTTAATGTTACATTCCTGGAGAATTTTTTCACAAGCATATGTTTGTGACAGTTGTTTGAAGCCCACAGTTCTAACGAGACATGATCTCACAAGAAGTGTCTGCACTTCACACCGATATGTCTTGCTCCCGTTATCCTCGCTCTATCCATTTACTCATGAGATGATTTTAGAATATTGCTGTGATATTCTGAGCATGGTATTTTGCAAAGTCACGAGACAACAGCTAGCAGACTTAACTCCTCACTGTTAACCTTTTGAGTGACATCTCCGACATTCACATGCAGTTCTGTCTATTTCGTATACCTATATGTAGAGTCGGGGGAATTATTTTGACAACTGAATTATGGTTTGGGCATCAGAGTATCAGAAAGTTATTCTCGAACGGCTCCATTGTTCAATAATATAGAAGGAAAACTGATTTAGAAATGATTTTTTTGGGAATTCCAATCGGAATTCACTTATAAATATTTTCAGTGTTATTCAAAGAGAGATAGCTTGAAACCAATACTGTTTCTCTGCCCGTACTATCAACTAACCATCCGGAAATAATGATTTATTATCATTATCATTCAGTTTGTATTATTCAATTGCGCAATCAGGTAGGCTAGTTTAGTCTCTGCAAAATTAACCATGGTGGCCATGAGTTGTTTGTCAGTGTCAATTAGAGTAGACCTTCGCTGACAAATTCGACGCTGACGCGGAAAAAGGAAAATGTTCTCCCAACATTTATTTAGTCAAGACAAATTGTCTCTGTAACATGAATAGCAGCGAATGATGGAAATGATGGTATAATAAAAAGATGAAGCCACACCAAATCATTAAAAGTGAAACTAAAGAATAAAACATGTACGCAAATGGGGTACGTAGAGAATGACTGATCCCAAAGTAGTAGTCCAATGGCCCTAACGTCTATTTTAATAAGCTAAAAAACTATTTATAATTCATCATATGGACAATGTTCCACTTCTATCAGTCTAACTCCACCCGGTTCATGATGCAGGTCTAAAACTCGTGTATTTCGGTGGTAGCCGATCTCGTTTTACGACGTTGTTTTATTCCTCTGACGTCAAAGACGCAAAATCGGAGATGTGAGAAATACGCAAGAGCCATCGAAAGCTTGAGAAGAGTCTCCACCAGCAAGCGGGCTGTAGTTTCAACGATGTTTTGAGTCGAAACGATGACAGAACTCGATGGTAAAGGCCGTTCACACGAGCCAGGCCGAGTTCAACGTGCCAAAAAGCGATATAGGATTGACGAAGGGAGGAATTAAACTTTTGCGCAGATACAATGTCTAATGCCATTGACGGAGTTATAACATACAGGTACAGACCTTGTGGTGATTCCTTTATCAATCGTAATATTGATTATGAAAAAATAAAGTCATGTAGCCGAAATAAATTCACCAGGTGGTGCACGAAATCTACCATGAGTTCTCATCGAATTATGGCATGACTTCGTAGAAGTATTTTCACTTCTTCTTCGACAGTGCGACAGTTCTGTCTACTTTCTGCGGAAAGCATTGATTTATGAGATGAACATCATCATTGAATCACTGGAAGGTGATTAAGGTGATGTTGGTATCTTCCGTCTCATTGACGAAAACAAACAGTATTATTTTAGAGAGGACATCAAAGAGAGCTTGTGAATAAATAATTCCTACTGGCGCAGACCTTTAGACTCCGTCGCCACCAGACTTTGTGTCTCTCTGTCGGCCACATTTGGCTGCTCATAATTTACCCTCAAAGCACGCCTTAATGCTTGCCACGATGGTGATTTCTCGGAAGCTTGTCGAGAATCGATTCCAACAGCACGTTTCAAATTAAATGGGATTAGCTGTGACTCTTGAGAGACCACCCTCGTCTTCGTCCTCGTCTTCGCCCTCACCCTCGCTCTCGCCCTCAGGGACCACCTTCGCATTCTCAGAAAAAATCTATAATGTGGAAAAGGAAACAAAATTATCTGTCAGCCGTGACACTATTTTTAAGATTAATGTGTAGGATGTCCGTGGACCTTTTGCGAAATTTTCTGAGCTACATAATCAAACGTACAGAGTGGACACGAAATACGTCAGTAACACTTGAAAGGCATTACAATTAGATTGACATAATTTTGTCTGGGGAAAATCGATTTCAATAAAAAAATGCAAGCATGAAGGTTTTTCGTCTTTTGTAAGACGCTGTTTTTATCAAGTACATCGTTAAAACTGTCACTTTAGGAATCTTTCAGAGGAACACATTTAAAAATCCACGGTGAGAAAAATGTTGAACAGTTTTAATGCTGCAAAAGAAAAAATGACATCGTGATGTTCGACGTGACAAGCCCGATCGCAAACTTAAATACTTCATCTCCACTAGCTGGGGGAACAGCTGCCCTTCGGAAAATTCCAATGTCTTTACATAAAATTCTGGCAAGTATCATAACACTACAAAAATTTTGTTGGTTTTTTCTATTACCAGGCGTAGGATTTTTCTAAAGAAATGCATGGAAAGGACACACAAATAATGTGGCCTACTATCATAAAATGTCGGTTAATTTAATTTAACCGTGGCACATAAAATTGATCATTGAATCTAGGCCACGAGGTGCTAAAATACGATATAACATGTCGTACTCGCTGGGTCATAAACGACATGAGACCGTATGCGTGAAACATTTGGTAAAGGATAGGGCATTGCCAGAAAATCCGATGGCCACAATCAATGATCCATGCAGAAGATTGATCGTAACATTTTTACCCTAAGAAAATGTGTGACAAGATGTGGGCAGATCGAGAAATACTGATGACGTCTGAAGTGACCCACTATTATTGTTCAAAGATTCGCATAATGATAAAAACTTTTAGCTAATTTCAGACTCAAGTGATTTCAGAATTAAATCCCAAGGCAGAGTTGTCTACAGTCAAGATTGAATGTCCTGTATTTATCATAAAGTAGCAAAATTTCAACAGAATTCTTAATACTGGGTAGTAATAGACGATGAGAAAACGGTGACAAACTGATAAAGATAATGACGATATGTCATCGAGATATCGTAGACCACCCCTCACGAAGGGAGGAAAAATTCGCCAGTTCTATTTTAGGAAGGACTCGACACTTGGCTTACCTGTTAAGAGGGGTTGCGCCCACTCGCATTAATGTTAAAAATAGAACTCCAGGAATGAGGGTAAAATTGTGGATTCCGTTTTTCATCTCCTTTTGGTGGAAATAAGATGACTCCATCAGCGCTCTGAACCTTTTCCTTCAGCTTTTATTCAACTACGAAATAATTTCTCTTCTACTTTTTTCATACACTGAGAAAATTGCATTGGCATTTTGCTGTTTAGCAGGAACATTTCCCCAATAACATACACATATTGCCACTTTTTAAAGAGAACGTAGGTATCACGATATGACTCATATATATGAATACAGTATTATAAAAAATAGGGAATCCCGAAAAAACAGTCAGTTATTTCACAGGAATCAAAAAAGAATTACGTAATGAATTAGATCGAGCAATTAAAATGATAATATTAACTGATCGCTTTGTGGATTATTCAGGAGTTCACCGCATAAATACATTTTAGCACTAGTCCGGAATTGATTCAAATCACCACATGATCATTCGTTTAAAATTCCAACACTTACCACGTAATCTTTATACTTTGCGTTGCTATTATTAGGGAATAAGCTGCATGGTATTTTGCAAATATTCCGAAACCAACTGTTCAATTCCAACAACACCACTCTAGACGATAAGAGCTAAATATGTTACAATGTTTCAAAAAATTGTACCAAATACACATACATATGATTCTGAGATATTAACTTGAAGATTTTCTTTAAAAAAATGCCCTTATTGCAACGTATTACGTCGTTATTAAAATGTAAATAATTCCCTCGAATAAATGAATATTTGGTAAAAATAGAAGTGTTTCTTAGCGTAGGTTCATTCCGAGGATGATGAGAGGAATAGCACGGGATCACGATAACAGTGTCTTATGGTTATCTCCTAAGCACACCTCTGAAGGTACCTGTTGACGTCAGCAATGACGTTGTCCTGACGAGGAGGGTTTTAAAATCAGGCTTACAGACCCTACGAAAGGGCTGACAGGATTCTGTTTTCATTTCTATAAAATGTATTTCTATAATCCCCTTTACAGAGAAGAATATTCAATATTAGAATATGAAAATTTTCCAAAACTCTAATTTCTTCAAATGAATAATTGTAAGTAATCGTCACTTATTGTAACTCTTACTTATAATTATAATTATTATCCCCCGGGACAGCTAAAGCTTCTGATCTGACAGTTGCAATCGTTTCCGAATGAATTCGAACGTATGCTAAAGGTGATGAAAGAAAATCAATAAAATCATTCCAAGGAATTGAGTCGATAATCTTCATTGCCATTTTTTGTAGAATAGCCACAGGGCAGGATGTAGAGGGGAGTATTGTAAGAGCTATATGAGACCCATTGACGTCAGAATCGTCATAGTGACCCCCCATTATTATTCCCACAATCTGTATTCCCTTGATTTCAGCCGGGTTCATTCATGTGCACATGGGGGAAAATATGTTCAAAATATCCTTAAGACATATTAATCTGTCAAAAGGAGTATCTTATGACATGACTTAACTATGATTAAAATAGGCATTGAAGACATTGTCATATCGTACATATGATAGCATTATATATGGTGAATCACTCCTACCGTGGGAATATTTCATTTGTAAATTTAAAAATTTGAAAAAATGTACGAAATTTGGTGCAGTACATAATGCAGGTTAATATACAAATTCAATTAAAACCTTAAACTTCGACTGAACGGAAAATCTATTTAGGAAACGTGGGTGTAGGTCCACCAATAATCCCGTTACAGCCCACGCAAAACAATCCACGAGTATTTTAAAAATAATTACGTAATATAAATGCTTTTTATTGACGAGGAAAACTTGTTGAATTATTCTAAAGAGTCATTATATGTATCGAGTGGTAACAAAGTGGTAGGAATAACGTTTTACAATATAAATGATATGGATGAATTTCCGTATGAATTAAATATGTTATAAAAATTTTCAGAGGTCTGTGGTCGCATTGCTCAACACATCACTCAGTCAATTCTAAATTCATAATCAACCACAGGCATCAATCACTCCACCACTGGCTACTGCCAAGACAGAATATTCTTTCTTGTTTTTCGAATTAAGAAATCAACGAGGTATAGAGGAATTTGGAAAAATATGTAAAAATATTATTCGATAGATTATATATTATAGATTATATTATATTCGGCGCAACACAATTGGCAAATACATTTTGATAATAATTTTGATAAAAAATAAATATCGTCAATATATGTAATTTCGTCCTGTCTCACTGGCTAAATCGGCATAGAATAAACTTATCACATTCCACATTCTGTTGAATTCAGATGAAAATACACGGACTAATTCAGTCTGATTCGTTATCAGAGTGGCGTCAAAATTTCCGAAGAACGCTTGCATGGTCCAATTTGTACTACCGAAAATCATTAACTTTTCATCCATTATGGCAAATTTGTGGTGCATAAGACTCACTGTAGATCGATGCATAAGTACTTTTATTCCTAAAAATAAAATACGAACTATTAGATTTAATTAATTGAGAAGAGACACGTTCTCAAATTCATTTGAAAATCGCCTAAATCGTTTAATTCGTCTGATTTCAAAGAGCATCGTTCACACGAGATGTTCTCCTTTAAAAATACCAAAAATGATATATATATAATAAATTACCGAAATCAGAATATTAAACACATGATTCAATCATTCAATCAATCGCGAATTAAATTTATCTACCAAATTAGGAATTCCTCTCAAGTTTGTATTTTAAGCTGATGTGCCGAAATGGATGATTCATGAATGGTCTGAAAATATACCTGCTCGTCTGATACGGGTTAATTGAAAGGAGCAAGCACTGTTCTCTGACATTATCGAATCTACCATCAACCTGATGGTAATGCCTCTTTCATGTGCTCGAATAATTGCGTCTGTGAGATCTTTGGATGTGAGGATATAAATGCAGATATCCAATGTTTTTTTGGCGGAGTCAAAAAAAGACAGTAACTTTCTGGAAATATGGAAAAGACTTAACGAAACTTTTTCATCATACGATTGAAAGCATATGAGATAATCCAGAAATACTCTGTTCTGTTTTTTTAATTGTCTGCAAACTGTTATAAAATTATGGAAGTTCAATTGAGAATTAAATTTTAAAAAATGTAATTGAAGTTTCTCAAAGATAAAAAAAAAATTACTTCGTGTTCATTAAGAAAATTCATCAAAGTTTTACATAAATCAGTTGTTAAATTGATCCATTAGTGGCGAATAGACAATTACTTCCGTAACAAGTTCGGTAAATAATAAAAAAAGGATGCATTACCTGACATTTCTCACAGGACAATGGGAAATTCCACAGGACATATTTGTCATCGAGTGGGTACGACAATCAGCACCTTCAGAATTGAAGATTAGTACTTCAGTAATAATTTTATAATTACTGTCTTTATTTTCCCTAAAGTATTTCTTCCATAGTTGCCATGCCAATTCTGTTCCAACAGAGAATATTAGAAAACCAATTCCAAACTTCACAGCACTGTTCATGATGAGTGACAGATTAACATCAATGTTGGAAGCCTACAAACAAATCAGTCAAAGGAAACAATTCCGGCATCGGCATTGTCAACGAAAGCGAGTTAAAACAACAAACGAGATTGCCTGACGCACAGTGATAAGTTTTCAAACTTCATGAATCAATCACTCTTACCAACATATGTTAAATATTTTTGTGACCATATGTTGAAAAGATGTTCATATGTCAGGAAGACGCTGTGATATTTTTCTTAGTAAATTGCATATAGACAGTTTGTTAAGATAATTGCAGTCGTCAAATCTCGTGTTCAATAAAAAATTATTCATCAATGGTGTGGAACTACTGAATAAAAGAAAACATAAACTATTTAAAAGGGCATCATCAGTCATATTTTATGAAATACGTTACATTGAGTACCAAAAGAAACAAAAAATAATTTGATCGTACAGAGAATAATGTGCGCTTATAAATGCTGAGTGGCTTAAGCCATAATCATGGAAATGACATGAAGGAAACCATTACACACCAATATATTGTTGAATTTTAAAGATAGCCTATAAACCTCTATGGATAATCCAGACAGAAAATCCGATTTTTAAGATGATCGGTAAGAATTCACAATACTCAACCGATGTTGCGTAATTTTCTTGTTCTATGAACGTGTCCCAATGTTTTTTTTTACATACAATTCATAGTGACCATGCGTCACGTGCAAGTGACAATATTATCTAGACTTATTCGATCATATCGACAACATGTTAATACCAATTGATTTTTCATTTAGAATCTCAATTTTTCTGGATATTAATATTAGGAAATTTCGCCAATTACCGTTCTACATAATGTACAATATAGATATATCTTTGGTTCTTGTCAATAATACTTTTCTATCTGCATACAGTAATTGATTGAAATTCCAAGGTCAAAATTATGGTGGATGGTGAAAATTTTTTATTCTCATACGTTTATAAACTTGATAATTTAGTTTATATCATTACCATTATTGGTTAGTAGAATTTTGAACGAATTTGGGAGAAAATTTTTACTTCACATTACACTGGCAGTATTCGAACACAAAATTATCCCTCAATTTTCTGTTAATATCCGCATTCAACATTATTTTTTCACTTCAATTATATTCTTACTCACAGCTAACAACGGTTTTTTTTCTTAAACAAAAACAACATGTAAAAATCTACTAATGCACCAACGTAGATTAAACAATGTCTTTCACTTGAAAAGAAAAAAAAAACTCCATCACCTGATTTTTTTTGCGCATGTGATATGCTGTGTCGACACGGCGATTCAATGCTCCAGTAAACTGCAGAGGAAGTTCTGTTCCGGCAGTCGTTAAATTACATTGTCGAGAACTATAATATTGACAGAACGATAACAGCGCATCGTGTGCAATGAAGCATTTTTACTTATAATTAACGTAATCAATACAATAATATTAAAACTAAGCAGTAATTAATAAGAGTTTAAAAATGAAGCATGGAGTTTCTCCTCTGATAATCTAGCTTTCTCCGTTTCCGCTTCCCTAATTTTGTTTGTT